TCTGTCCTCCACCCGCCGCAGTTGTCCCCATCCCGTAAAACCACCGTTAACTCCATCCCAGCCGAAACCGGGCCACCGTAACAAACCCACGTGCTCAGGAAAAAAGGTTTCAAATAACACTTTCAACCCAACAGCCGAGGAAGAAAGGACGGGAGATGGGGAAGAGCTGCGCCCTCAGTGTTAACGCAGCTTTATTGGCAAAACCCTTATTTTGATGCATCTTCTGATGCACCAAATGCACCTTCATCCTCCGGTTGCAGGACCCGAGCCCGTCCCCGGGTGCTTCAGGGCACCACGTGCCACCATTTGAAGGCGAAGGGCTTGCGCCGGACGTTGGTGCCGCAGTGGACGTCGCCGGAGAGGACGTGGTAGGAGAAGTAGTCGTCGATGAAGGTGCAGGTGAGGCCCAGGGGCTCCAGCAGCGCCCGCACCCGCTCCTCCAGGCAGCACTGCCCACCCACCAGCGGTCCGAAGGGCTTGGGGATGCCCAGGTGCCTGCCCAGCACCAGCATATTCATTTGCAGCCGGACCAAAAATCAGTGTTTTCCACCCAAAAGGTGTGTTTGTATCAGGTGCGGATGGAAAGAGAGGGGTGGGAGGGGAGGAGGTGCCGGAGGTCTCACCATGTCCGGGAAGAAGGCATCCGCGCGGGAGCCCTTCATGATGAAGAGCTGGGGGATGTCGATGATGTCCTGCTCGTTCAGGCCCAGCTCCTGCTTCAGGAGGTCGCGGTTCCAGTCGATGCAGCGCTGCAGAGAGGGGGGACGTGGAATTGCCACCCCAGGCCGTTCCAGCCCCCCCAGATCCCATGCACGGACCCCTGTGTGCCCCATTGCATCCTGCCCAGGTCCTCACCAGCTCCACTGCATCTCGTCCCATCCCATCCCTCTGAGCAACCTCCTGAACCTATCCCCAACCCGAGCAACCTCTTTCCTTTGGTTTTGACACCTCTGCAGTGGGGCAGACACCCTCCCAGCAGGCCAAGGGGCTGGGGTGAGCCAGCACCCAAGGGTGCCTGGCTCGTTCACGGCCGCTCTTCTCGCCCGCCTGCTTTCACACTGCACGGTGCAACTCACGCCGTGGTTTCTTGCTCTTCCCCAGCATCTCCAAAAATGCCTCCCACACCCAGAAACCACCCGGCAGCGATGCGCAAGCGAGGAGAGCGAATCCACCCATAGCCATGGGTGCGAAGACCCACTTGCACGTGCTTGTTGTCATTCTTCAGCAACTCATCCGCCAGGATCTCGTCGATGCTTTTCCTCTCATCGCCCTTCAGCCCTGCGTGGGGACCGGAGCAGAGCGGTAAGGGACACCGGTAAGGGACGCCAGTGGTCCCCACCGTGCCGCAGGGATGCCCTTGCCTGCTCCCTTACCGACGAGCTGTGTGGCTTCGCCGTGGCCCTGCCCCTGCTTCTCCTTGAAGAGCTTGTAGCAGGCATTGGGGCTGGCCAAGAGGAGCCGGAAACCCTGCGGGAGAGAGCCCAGGGGTTCAACGCTTTGCCGTTGGTGGGATGCCTTACCCCCCCGTCCCGCCGAGAGACACCACGCTGACTCCAAACCCGGCCCCAGGTGTCGCAGGGTGCACGGGATGCCACCACCGCAGGGTGCACGGCATGCCACCCGGGGACTCGCCGATCTCCAGGAAGCCACCCCAAAAGAAGGTGCATCACTCGGCCCCCGCGGGGAGGATGGGCAATTGCAAAAAGGGCTTTTTTTTTTTTTGGCATTTGCAGAAGACGCCCCGTGCAGGAGCGGAGATGGCTCCGGGGACCGGTACCTTCCTATCGTAAGCAGGGACGAAGGTGAGGAATTCATCCACGTGGCCCACGTTCAGCCACTCCGAGTAAATCTCCACCGGCGCCTGCACCTTCTGGGCGTAAAGAAAATCCCTGACCGCCTTGGACATCCGCCGGCCGGAGGCCCTGGGGAGCAGAGGCAGGAGGAGAAAGCGGGCGCCCATCACACCCCTCCGCAAGATTTACCCCCCATCCTTCCCCTGAACATCATGCCAAGGGGAGAAGACGCGTCTGCACATCCCTTTTTAATGGGAAACACCGGGAAGAGTCTGGAAATAGTCTGAGCAATATATATTATATATATTAATATATACAAATATATTATATATTAATATATCTAAATTGTATATTAATAGATAGTATATTAAGATACAAAAATATTATATATTACTATAGCTATATTGTATATTAATACATTAACACATTAACATATCTATATTATATATTAACATATCCATATTATATAATATATACCTACATTATATGCTAATATATCTATATTATATATATTTTATATCTATAGGCCATATATTTCTATAGGCAGCTGTGCATTACATCCCCCGTTCTGCTCAGGATTTAATTTCCCCCATCCCCGTGAATCTTAAATCGCTCCTTAGGCAGCGCTTTGCGCAGGGGCGAAGGTGTCTTAGACAGACAGCAGCAGGCTGGGAAAACATTAATTAAACTTCTTGTAATAAGGGATATTTACGGTCCCGGCGAGGCTGGGAAAATGCCATTTACCCGCCGCCGTAACCGAAGCAAGCCCCCTGGCTTGCAGCGGGGCTGGGGTCGGAGCATCCCGTTTGTTATCCTGGATCAAACCCCATCCGGATTCGTCCCCTTTGTTATTTTTCCAGGAAAATAACCTCCTTTGTGGAGGGTTTTGCAGGGCGCTGTTGTTCCCGCGGGGCTGCCTAGCACTGCCTGCCCAGAGCAAAACAATTTCCAGTTATTCAGGATTTTACCCTTTCCTGGATTCCCCTGCTTTTCCTTTTAATAGGGGAGAAAAAAAAAAATAAGCCCAGACGCTTACAGCACTGCAGGATCGGAGGAAAAGCACCAGCGGTTTGGGAGGGAGTAAAAATTGGAGCGGTGGCAGGATCTTGTAAGGGATGAAGGAATAACGATGCGGTTTGCACGTTAAATCTGGGATTTGATGGGAATTGGCCCCAAATGCCCATTTTGATGGGAAACGGCCCGAATTTCCACTCCGAAGAATGCAACCCTTTCTCATGCAAGGGTTTTCAGAGCTTCCCCGCGTCCCGGAGGGAGGGTTCGAGTCCCCCCATATCTCACCAAGGCAGGGGGCTGCCAATCAGGATCCGGCCCAGGGGATACTCCTTCCCTCGCACGGTCACCGGCGGGCTGACATCCAGGTTGCCGAAGGAGTCAAGGCTGGAGATGTCTTTCCTGGGGGGCTCACGGGTCACGTAGCCAAAATCAGGGCCCTGGGGAAGAAGGGAGCGGTGACGGGGACCCCCCCAGGTGGGGGATTTCGGGGGAAGAAAGAGGGGTTGGCAATGCAACGACGCACCAGGATCTTTTTAAAAGCAAAATCCTTCAAGCCTCTGTTCCTGGGCGAGTCGAAGACGACGGGGAAGGTCTTGTGAGGCGCTTCCACATAGCCGAACTCCAGCTCGTCCTGTTGTGGGAAGAAGAAAAGGAGGAGGAGGAAGAGGAGGAAGGCTCCTGTCGGGGTGATAGCTATCTCAGCAAGGCATGCGGTGAGGGTGGAGCAGGAAATGGGGCAAACCTGGCAAAGACCGGCTGGTGCCCCTAACCCCCAGGGGGGGCACCGCCTTCCTCTCCC